TTTTTTTTTTTTTCCATTTAAAAAATTTTTTTTTTTTTTTTTTTTTTTTTTTTTTTTTTATATTTAAAATAAAATCCCATTCTATAATTATATAGTTACTTGATTTTGAAGATATCAAATTTCTATTATTAGAAAAGGAGAAAGAGAAAAGCAAATAATCATGATTATTTAAAATAATTTAATTTTTATATTTTTCAAAACCAATAGTTGTAATTGTATAATTGCCACATTCTCAAATTCATAAACTTAAAACAAAATAAAAATAAATGAAGTTAAGTAGTTTTAACATATGGTTAAAATTAAATATTGTAATATCTGATAATAGATATAAATAGTTTTCTTATAATCTTATTTTTTTTTTTTAGTATATTTTTTGAAGATCAATTATATGATTGCTAGAATCCATCAAAAATAGTTTCACATTAACAATATCATTAAATTTTTATATTAATTTATAGTTTTTTCTTTTTAATTTAAATTTATATTATTATTTATTATGTATAGAAAAAATATTTCATTTTCTTTGTATACTTTAAAAGTGTTTTACTGATAAATAATTTTAATAAATTTGTACAAAGTACTATCGTTTAATATTTTGTTATTAAAAATATATATATATATATATATATGAAACAAACTGAAAATACAATTGTTAAATAAGGTTATTAAATTATTAATTTTTAATTTTATTTATTTGCACACTTTTTCATATATTTATACTTATCTTTTATTATTTCTTTATTCAATTTTAATATGTTCTTTCATTTAACAAATTATGTCTGATATATATTATATGATTTCACTATTTTAAAAAAAAGCATTTATTTTTTCTTAAAAGAAAACTTATTTTCAAAAAAAAAAAATAAATAAATAAATTTTCCTATTCTTTTTATTTAATGCTTATAATGTGTTTTCTTTTTAATTAATAAAGAAAAATTTATGTATAAAATATGATAAAAAAAAAGTGTAACAAAATCATATTTAGCCATTAAGAATTTCCTTATTAAATTAATTTTATTGAATTAAAAAATATATATACTTGTAGAATCTAGAGTTATTGTAAAAATTTTTCTTTTTTTTTGTTATTGGATATATTTTTTTATCTTATTTACATTTTTTTATTGTTTTTATATATCAGTTATATTTGTATTTTCTTTCATCGATATTTATCCTTTAAGTAATATTTATATCTATATTTCCTATATATATTCTGAATATATTGTTTCTAAAATATAGAAGAATATGAATATTTTTTAATTTATATAAAAATATTTAATGCAATTTTTTTATCATTCTAAAACCAATGAAGATATGTCATTAAATAATGAATTAAGATGTATTTTTAGAATAATTCAACTTGTTAAACAATCCAAATTAATTAAATTTTACTTAAAACGATTTTCTTCTACAATACTATATATTAAGATTCAATATTTATTTAAAAAAACATAAAACATAAAATATATAATCATAAAGGTAAATAATGTAATTATACTTCATTTCTATGTATTTTTTTTCTAGCTACTTTTATTGTATGTACATTAATAAATATAATTCAAATGTTTAAAAAAAAAAAAAAAAAATATGTATATTCCTGAATCAATAAAATAGTACCCTGTGTGAGATATCTTAAATAGTAAAAGGTCTTCATTAGTATTATTATCATAAAAAAAATAAAAAATATATATATATATATATATTACTTTAATTAAACAAATTCTATTAAAAAAAAGAAGAGAATAGAAGAATAAGAATATGAATATAAACAAAAAAGATAACGAACTTTTTAAATTTAACACAAAATTTTTTCTTTTTTTTTAGCTAGTTTCAAAATTTCCCAATAAATATAACCATACAATGATATTGTTCATTTCTAAAATATTACATTCTTTATTATTATTATTACTTTTTTTTAAAGAACGAATTAAATGTGATACAAATAATTTAAGTTTTCCTGAATGCGATGTTTCAATTGATTCAGCAATTTGTATTAATAATGGACAAAAAATTTTACTACCTGAATCAAAGCCATATGGTGAAAATATTATAAAAATTAAACGCATTTTTTCTTTTTTTCTATATATGTAAATATACATATAGTATTTTTTAAAAAAATTAATAGAATAAATGAATATATTTTTTCTAAATAGGAATATCTGCACATATAAGCTTTGATAGCATCCATCCGGTTGATTCCAGTGGAAACCGTAACCATGCTATTGGAAAATTTTTTGCTTCAACAGGATTTGGGGGTATTGGAAATTCATCTCTATTCAGAAAAAATTACATTTACATAAATCATTCAGATGAATATTTTAAAAGTGTTGATTTTTCCTATACATTTTTTATCTATTTGTTGGAAGATGATATTTCTTTGTAATAAAAATGATAAATGAAGTTTAATAAAGCAGTATATTTAACAGTTTTGTTTGAGATAGACAAAGAAAATATAATAATAAAACATAATATATATATATATATATATAATTTTTTAAAAGAAAAAATAATTTCTTATGTATTATATAATTCTCTTATGAGGTTTAATATTTATATATATAATTTTCTATATATTCTCCTATAGAAATAATTTTATAAAATGCATATAAAAAATATATATAATTTAATATAATATAGTATAATATAATATAATATAATTTAATATAGCATAATTTAATATTATGTTTATTTTACTTTATAGAAAAAATAACATGGATGAAAAATTTTGTCCAATAATACACAAGGTAATTTTTTGTCTTTTTTTTTTTTTTTAGTTCTCAAACAGTTTTTTATATATTTTCATATTATTTTTAATTCAAATTTTGTATAGGGTATTATAAAAGATAAGATACAGGAATCTTCTCCTGCTATATTAATAAATGCAAAAGTAAAATAACTAAAAAAAAAATATTAAAAAATAATAAAATAAAGACAATTGTTTCATTCTCATAACTTTTTTTTTAAGAGTTACTTTTTTATTCACACCTTTTATTTTAACCACAATTATAGTTCTTCTAAAATCTTTTAATTTCAAATTACAAAAAAATTTTTTTTTTTTTTTTACATCTATATAAAGCCATATATATATTAGTAAAAAAGTCTCTATATTTTATTAGTTCTTTTTTATATCATAAATAATATTTCTTTTTTTAATTATTTTTTTTTTATATTTAAAAATATAATCATTTTTTTTTTTTTTTTTATATTTACGTAGAATGGAAGAATAAAAATAGTTTTAAGTACTTCTTCTAGCATAAATTCTGGTAATTTTAAATAATAACAATAATATTTAAATGTGCAACTATAGTTCCTTCTATATAATTTCATTATAATCTTATAAATTCTTTTTTTTAATTATTTACTCATAATTTTAACTTATTTAATACATACATATTTAAAAAAAAAAATTTTTTTATTGAATAGCTGGCGAAGAATTTTTGAGCAATTTTAAATTAAGACATCATCAATGGTATCATATTGCTGGTGTAGAATAATAAGAATAAAAAATGAATATTGCACAATTTTATTTTGAATGTTCTTATAATTTAAAAATATATATAAATATATATAAATATATGTATATATATTTTTTTTTTTTTTAATTTTTTTATAAAAAAAGTTGTTAGGCATATTAATCATGTAAGACTTTTTGTTGATGGAATTCTTGATTCTAGTTTTTTGACAGAAGGTTATATATTTCATAAAGAATTTATACATAAATATATTTAAATAAATCTTATATTATTCTCAATTAGTAAATATATATATATTTATATAAATAAATATATATTAAATATTTTTTCTTTTAGGAATAACAAAAACAAATGATTTTCCTATATATATAGGAGGTGCACCATATTCAATAGATGTATGCGATTTTCCATTTTTACTTGATGAATTAAAAATTTATAACATAAGTATAGGTGTAGATCAAATTCAAAGTGAAGCATCAGCAACATTAAATGGGTTAGAACCATCTTTTGTTTATTTTGGGTGTTATCATTGTGATATAAATAGTGCAATTTTATCTTGTCCTAATAATTATCACTTATGTAATAAAGTGGAACTTTTCATTGGTGTTTATAATATTATGAGAAAATTTTCTTTGAATATTAATAACATTATATTACCCTTTTCTCCAGAAAATCATGTAGGAATAGGAATTTGTTGTGCAGATATATAAATAATAGTCAGTTATTTACTTAAATACAAAATAAAATAAAATAATAAAATAAAATAAAATAATAAAATAAAATAATAAATGATAAAATTTCATAATAAAAAATACAGAAATATTTTCTTCCATTGCTATACTAAATTATTTATATTATTATGCTTTTAATTTGTTCTTAAAAAATTATTTTTAAGACCTTATCTTTATTTTTTTATTATATATTTTGTTTCAATTAAAATTATGAATTTTTTCATTCTTTCATGTCATTTATTTTGTTTTATTTATTTAAACTTTTCCTATTTTCATTTTTTTTTTTTTTTTTTTTTTTTTTTTTTTTTTTTTTTGGATATTTCTAAATTTTTTTTTATATTAATTTATACTTTTGTTAGTATATAAATATATAATTTTACAAAATATATTATTTTTTCTATTTTTTTTTTTTTTTATAAAATTACCCAATTTTTTAAAAACGATTTATTAAATGTTCTTTTATCTTATTTTTAGACAAAAAAAAAAAAAAAAAAAAGAAAGAGAACAAAAAAAAAATAATTAACTTTCAAATACAAATTAGATAATATTCTTATATTTTTTATTTTTCCTTATTTAATATATCTATATATATAATGTAAACAATTTTTGCTAAATAGACAGAAATGTAAAAGTTAATTTTTTTGAATAGACATAAACTTGTTTACTTGAAATTATATTAAATATATATATATAGTATTTATATATATATAAAATAAGTAATTCTACAGTTAAAATAGAATTTTATTATAATAATTCTTTTCTCTAATTTTACAATACAAAAGAATGAATAAAAAAAAAAGCTCTAGAATTAATGTACTTAATCAAAAAATAGAAGAAAAAATTAAAAAGGAAAAAAAAAATAATAATAAGATAAACAATGAAGTTATGAAGTTAATAAATAAAGAAGTGATAATTGATTATTGTACCAACCAAAAATCAAATGCTAAATTAATTTTAAATAGATATTTAAATATAATTAAATATTTGATGAAAGAAAATTTAAATTTAAAGAAAATAATAGAAAGGAACAAACTAGAAGATGCTCAAAAGGATGATATTATCATTAAACATGAAAATGAATTAAAAAAAAAAAATGATATTATCAATGATTTAATAAATAAATTAGAAGGAGACATATTAAAAGAAAATATAAAAATATGTGATAATTCAGAACCACATGAAAGTGAAATGTTAATTCAAGAAAATGATAATTCTACAAAAGTAAAATCAAAAAAATTAATAGATCTAATTAAAAAAAATAACTCTATTAATAGTGAAGTTAAGCAAAACATATATCTTACAAATTGCCATCTAAATGATAATATAAAAGAAAATGATAATTATATAGGAAATTCATCACTTAATTATGAAAATGAAAATTCTAAATTTACACAATATAATGAGAAAAATTATATAAAGAAATACTTAAAAGATGAAAACAATAATTCCATATTAAAAAAAAAAAATTATTCATCTGAATATACACTCATTAACATTAACAAGCCTATTGAAAAAAAACATTATGAAAGTGAACTTCATCAGATATATACATATAATAGTTTCAATAAAGAAAAAAATTTAGGAAAAAAAAAATCATCAATATTTATTAGGGAAGAAAGAAATGAATTATTAAAAGATGAGAAATTAAACCAGAAAGGAAATAACAACTTGAAAGAAAACAGTTTAAAATTTTTTGTAAATAACAACAATAAATTGCATGATGATGATGAATGTATTGATGAATTGAATTATCTTATAAATAATAAATCTAGTATTGAAAAATTTGAAAATTATTCTAAAAAATATGAAATGGAGTATAAGAACATCAATGCTCAAAATGATTTTATTAAGGAGGAATTGTATTATTCAAACCTATTTCAAAATGAAAAAAAATTATCTAAAACTCCTATGGAGAACAAAGAATATTATATGGAAAACTCAAAAATGAGTGATACTTATGTAAAAAAAAAAAGTATAAATATTACGATGGATAACTTTGATGAAAAAAAAGAAAATATTGACAAAAATCCCAAAGAATTACCAAATAAACAAATTCATGATAATTCTTATTATGCAAAAGTTAAAGATGAGAACAATATATATATAAACAGTGGAGATGAAAGTAATACAAATATAGAAAATAGAACTAATAAAAATCTAGTAAACAAAAACATGATATACGTAAATAATGATATAAGAATAAATAATAAATTAAATGAGAACGATTATGGTGACATTTACAATAAAAAAAATTCTAATTTGTCGGAAAAAGAAAATAAAAGTGATTTAGAAGATGCTAATTACGAAGATTTAGAAAATATTATGTCTACTATATTGAAACTTCGAAAGAAAAGCTAAATGAAATAAATATACATACGTTTATGGGTATGTATAACAATATTTTCTGTTTGCTTATTTTTACATCTCTTTTTTTATTCTTTTAAATACTTAAACCATTTAAAAAAATATCATATTATTTCTTCTTTCGAAAAGCATTTATTACATTATGTTTTTCTTTAAACTTTTGTTTTTATATATATATTGAATAATTTTTTTAAATTCTAAAAAAAAGCATTTAATAATTTTTGAGGTTCTGTTAAACAAATTAAAAAAGTAAACAGTTTTGTCTATTATATTTTGGTTTTTTGGTAATTAAACGTTAATGTTTTTTTTTTTTTTTTTAAGGTTTTTATTTTTTTTTTTTAGATATCCTTATTTTTATTAAATTTATAATAAATTTTTAATTATTTAAAATTACATATAAAGGATTAATATTACAATTTAATACTTAAAAAATAAAAAAAAATATAAAATATATATATATATATATATATATATATATATATATATATATTCTTTTACATTTACATTTTCTAATGTTTATAAATAAGTATAACATATTACGTGCATTGATAATTTGAAAACATTAAATTACTTAATAAAAAAAATTGTATATAAATATTGAACTAATAACAAACATATTTCATTTTGTGATCCTATTATTTTATTTCGGTTATAAAAAAAGAAAAAAAATAAAAAAAAAAAATTAAATGTTAATAATTTACAAATTTTTCTCTTAAATATTTATATTCTTATATAAAATTAAAAAAAAAAAATTAACTAATATTATAAATTATTTTTAAATTAATGAAAATACATATCATAATTTCTTTTTATTTATACTTGTTTTATTTTAATTAATCTTATCATTAGTAGTTTTTTTTTATAATTTTCTTTACTTTTTTTCTTTTTTATTTATTTAATTTTGTATGAGTTTATTAACTTATACTTTAGTATCTTCAAATTTTGAAGAAATAATTGTTTTTATATTTATTTAAGAATTTATTAAGTTTTTTTTTTTTTTTTTTTTTTTTTAAATGAAATGGAATGTCTAATTAAAAAGATTAAAGAAATATTTCAAATTTCAATTCAAAAATGTTTTCCAACAATTAACGAAGATGTAGTTGTAACTTACGCCAATGCAAAATTTGGGCATTATCAATGTAAATAAATAAAATTTTTTTTTTTTTTTTTTTTTTTTTCTATAAGAATTATATTTATTTTGATTCCCAAAAAAAAAAAATATAACATTATATTTTTGGCTTTTTCATAACTTCTTTTAAATAAGAATTATATAAAAATAATAATTATAGGCATAATTTTTTTTATACTTTTTATATGTTTGGTTTTTTTTATTTTTAGGTAATAATGCAATAAATATATTTAAAAAATATGGAAAAAGTTTAAATTATGAAAATGCTCATAAAATATCTTTAACTATAATTGAAAATATAAATGAGAAAATTTTTGAGGAAATAAAATCTTCTCCTCAAGGTTTTATAACAGTAAAATTATCAAAAGAATATATTGAAAAATCCTTATTAAAATTATTTAAAGATAATAAAATTAATATAAAATTAAATATAAATGATGTTAAAGATGATAATGAAAATTATGGAAATGTTTTAGTTGATTTTTCTTCGCCAAATATAGCAAAAGAAATGCACGTTGGTCATTTAAGATCAACAATATTGGGTGATAGTATATGTAAAATATTTGAATTTCTAAATGTAAATACGAAAAGAATTAATCACATAGGTGATTGGGGTACTCAATTTGGAATGATAATAAATTATATATCTTTAAATTATCCTAATTTTAAAAAAGAAATGCCACAATTAAATGATTTAACAGGTTTATATCAAGAAGCAAAAAAAATGTATGATTCTGATAAAGAATTTGAAAAAGAATCGAAGGAATATGCTATCAAATTACAAAATAACAATGAAGATTGTAAATTAATATGGAATAAATTGTGTGAAAGTAGTAAGAGAGAATTTGATAAAATATATAAAATTTTAGACATTAAAATAGAACACGTTGGTGAATCATATTATGTGCCTATGATACCTGATGTTTTGGATAAATTAAAAGAAAAAAATTTACTAACATATATTGGTGATGCTCTATGTTATAAATCTGAAAATTTTAATGTTCCTTTATTTCTTCAAAAATCTAATGGTAGCTATGGTTATGATTCTACTGATATTGCAGCTATTTATTATAGACTAAAAAAATTAAATTGTAATTGTATAATTTATGTTACTGATAATGGTCAGCTAACTCATTTCGAAACATTATTTGAATTAACTAAAAAAACTGATTGGGTAAGTAATAATACAAAGTTAGTTCATGTTGGATTTGGTTTGGTTTTAAATGAAAATAATAAAAAATTTAAAACTAGAAGTGGTACTAATATAAAGTTAATTAGTCTTATTAATGAAGGAACTGAGAGAGCAAAAAAAGACTTGCTAGAAAGAATCAAATCAAAAAGTGAAGAAGAAAAAAATTATTTTCAAGGTTAATAAAAAAAAAAAAAAAAAAAAATTATATATAAGAACAATAATAATAATAATAATAATAAATGAAATGTAACACAATAAATAATATATATATTAGTAATAATCAAAAATTTATATATTTATAAAATTATTACAAACGTTCTTTAAATTGATATATTCACAGAAAATACATAAAGTTATTTACAAAAAGGATTTTTTTTTATTTTTTTATTTTTTTATTTAGAAATAGATATAGATAAATTAAGTGAAGCATTATGTGTTAGTGCAATAAAATACTTTGATATAAAGCAACATAGAAATTCAGATTATAAATTTTCTTATGACAATATGCTAAATGTTAAAGGTATATTAATCAATCTAAATATTTTTATGAATATATAAAAAAAAAAAAAAAAAATATTTTATATATCTTTTTTTAATTTAGGAAATACAGGAATATATATTATATATGCTTATTCACGAATTTGCTCTATTTTTAGAAAATCTAGTATAAATGTAGAAGAATTATCTAAGGGTATTAATATATAAAAAAATATACATCAAATATTTGAAATAAATACTATTATGCTTATAATTTTTTTTTCATTTATATATATATATATATATTTTTTTTTTTCAGAAGAAATAAATTTAGTTAATAATTATGAAATAAACTTAGGGTTACATATTTTAAAGTTTCCAGATGTATTTTATTATATTTTAAAAAATATGCTAATTCATAAGTAATATTAACATTATAATTGAAAAATTATATCATTATGAATGATTTTAAAAATAAAATAAAATATAATTATTTTTTTTAAGTATTTGTTAAAAATAATTTTAATGCACTTATATTTTCTTATATCCTTATTTAATATTTGATATTCTAACATGTAAATTTTAATTTTTATATAGGCTGGCTGAATACACATATGACCTAACGACTATATTTACATCATTCTATGAAAATTGCAAAGTTTTAAATAGTGAAAATGAAAAGACTAGATTACTTTTATGTTCTATAACCAAATCTTTATTATATGTAAATAAACAATAATAATAAATTATTTAAAATTATATAAATATACATATTTTTAAGTATTATAATATTGTGCACATATATATATATATATTTTTTTTTTAAATTTTTGTTTCTTTTTTCAGATTTGTCTTCAATTAATGGGAATGAAGCCAATAGAAAAATTATGAATAATGAAAGGATAAAATTACAAAAACGTAATATTATGAAAAAAAGGGGACTTAAAATGAAAATACAATGGAAAAAAAATAAAAAAAAATAAATTAATTTCTGATTCTTAATAGGGATTATTTGAGATATAATCTCTTAACATATGTTGTGTATTATTTTAATTGTATTTTTGTTATTTCAAAAATTTTTATTATCCAAATTATTATTTTCTGTTTTATATTAAAATATATCTTTAATTTGTGAGTATATGTTAATATATATATATATATATATAATTTTAGATATTTGAACTATATATTTTTTATGAGCATTTATAAATTATTCATAAATTGACAATTATAAAAAAAATATTAACGTTGTGATGAATGAAATACTGTGAATTTATTGAGAGTTATACCGTAAATAATTAAAATATTACAAAAAAAAAAAAAATTAATTTTAACTTTAAATGAATATAATCTCAAATAGTAAAACTAAATAATATTTTCCTAATATTTCAATAGCAATAATATAATTCTAAAGTTTTTCTTTATAGAAATTTTTAGATATAATTCAATAATTTTTAAAAAGATTATAAAAATGGTTGTAATAAAAAAGGAATATTTTATTAATATATATCTATTAGAAAAAATATTATAATAAAGAGAATAATAAAAAAGAAACTTTAAAGTTTATAAATTGCTTATAATGAAAATTACTGCTGTTACATATTTTTTAGGTATATTTTTTTTTTTTTTTTTTTTTGATATATAATATCAATAAAATATATTTCCATTTAATTCTTATATTTTGAAAATTAATATTTGCATAAATATTAATTTTTTTTTTTTTTTTTTTGTAGAAGTATTTAATATTCATTTTTTATAAAATCAAACCTTTTTAATTTAAATATGTTATTACTTTTTTTTTTTTTTTTTTTTTTTTTTTTTTTCATTTTTTAAAAATTA